AAATTACTTTTTGACTCCAATATAGACTGGGAAAGTAAACCTCTGTGATTTACAAAATACAAACAAAAATTAATTCCAAAAGGAAAGTAATCTACAAATAGAAAGCCTTTAGCTCATGAAATCAGCTAAGCATTCAAATGCCCTTGGTGTGACTTTGAAAACATGGAGCTCATCCCTCTAGACCACCTTTCATGCATATATAGACTCTGGCGATGTCATTCAATCCACAAAGACTTGCTGAAGAACGTCTACTTGTGCATCCAGGGTACAATAAAGACTTCTCATGGAAATATAAATATAAGTACAAATATAAATATATATGCTTTTTTTGCCAAAAATTGGATTGTTTGGAATGCACTATTAGAGCTGGCCCTGTTTGCAATCAGACGAGTACAGAAATTGGGAGTAAGCATTTAGAAACTTTTATATAATCTGGCATCACCATGAAGTGTGTGACCGGTGGATGGGTCTCCCTGAACAGGATGTAGATTAGTTCTGATGTTGTTGAATTCACCTTGGAGTTGTATGTGTTGTGAGCTTCAAGCTTTTCATTCCTGGTAAAACCACATATTGGTCTGCAATAGATAGGAGATGGACAAACACCTTTCCTTTCCCACTGGTAGGTTGAGAAGCACTGCTATGAAATGCAGTCTTTGTCACCTGTTTCTTCCACTGAACAGGTTGTGAGCATCATTCCAGTTCAGTAACTGTGTTTCTATAATGTACTTTGCGATGAAGGTGTTATTCTTCAGTTTTTTTAAAATTTTTATTTATTTATGATAGTCACAGAGAGAGAGAGAGAGAGAGAAAGAGAGGCAGAGACACAGGCAGAGGGAGAAGCAGGCTCCATGCACCGGGAGCCCGACGTGGGATTCGATCCTGGGTCTCCAGGATCGCGCCCTGGGCCAAAGGCAGGCGCTAAACCGCTGCGCCACCCAGGGATCCCTATTCTTCAGTTTTTAAGTTTGATTAATTGAGAGGTGCCTCAAGTTTTAATTGATGCTTATCTCTTTCCCAAGACTGCCTGCTCTCATTTGATGATTGCATTAATGAGATTTATGTATGATGGCACTGAGATTCAGAAACAGTGCATCTCTCTTGAATGTTCAGCCCAAGGGGACCACTCTCAAACTATCGAAGGCATTCCACTAAAAGACAATCTCATCCACAATGAGGTTCAATAGCAGAAACCTCTGGGCAATATTTTAGCAATTAATCGCACAGTGGCCTTTCACCAAGACCTTCACAAATCCCCAAGAATTAGATGTTCTGAGCGTTGGAGGGAGTATAATAGCAATTTGGCACTTGCCAGGCTGCACTGACCAATAGAAAGATGACCACCCCATTACACTTATATTACTGTCTCCCTCTCCTCTATCTGACATTACTAATCAATCATGGACTGTTTTGGACTGAGACTCAAACTTGTCCTCAATAAAGGTATCCTCTAGATATCTTCTGCCAAAAGACAGGGGTGGGGCATGAGAAAAAACCCACTTGCCATTCCTGGACTAAACCATTTGCGATGAAAAGGTTTCCAAGAATTGCAATGCACTTCACCTTGCCCTTGTGAGAACAGCACAAAACCCACAAGTACTGGAAGGGGAGTGGTGAAGGCTTGCTACTGTATACATTAGCAGAGTAAATAGGAACTCTACAAGTCTCTTGAGCTTCACTAAGTTTTTCTACCTTGTCAAAATTCCACTGCGGAATTGAGTATTTTCTCCAAGGCTACACCTTCTCCAAAGAGGACTTTAAGTCTAAGTTCCTAGATGATCAAGTGGAGAGTGAGCATTGATTTTAAAAGGATAATAGTGTGTATAACGGTTCCCCCCAAACCACAAACTTTCCTATAGGGAAGTCCAAATTGTGATCAACTAGCAAGAGAATGGGTCAGAAAAAGAGAATTATGAATACTGGTCAATCTAAATCAATGTTAGGCTCCAGTGTTAAGCCATGTAATAATGGAAGTGCCTTGTAGCTTTTACTACATTCACATACTAAGGTAAAAAATAGCTACTCTATGCCAACTATGGTAAGAATGAGAGTGTTTCAGATATTCTTACTTGTTTATTAAAAAGCAAACATATATTTTCCCCCCTTAGGCTTTAGTACATGTAGTAATTCACTTGCTTAAGTTTTTTTCAAAGGACCTTTTTGGAAAGTTTTATGTCAAGATTTATTATAGTATTCCCAAGCAAACTAATTTTTCTTGTGCTTTACGAAAAGCATAAATGTCATTAAGACATATTTTGGTAACTCAACATGTGATGAATATACCCAATACTTGGTATATCCATTCCTAAATGCAATAAAAAATACCAACTATAAAACTTTAGGTGAATAAACCCAAACAATTACCTTTTCAAAAAGAATAAAGTCAGTATGTTTTACAAAGCCTGAAGGCTGGGGGCCATTGCTTCTTATCATTTCTCTTATTGCAAGCATTTAATGATCACTGTGTTTAGATCAGCACTGCCCAAGAGAACTTTCTGTGGTGATAGAAATGTTCTGTATCTGTTTATGGTAGCCATTAACCACATTGGCCATTGAGCACCTGAAACATGGCAGATGAAGAACAGAATTAAATTAAATTTCAATGGCCACATGTGCAGATAGAAAATTGATACCGTGTGTTAGTATAAAAAGATGAATGATTTGGCTTTTCTCTCAAAAATTTACAAAGCATGGGAGAAATCAAATGCAAACAGAAGGCTGCCCAGGTGTCTCAGCGGTTTAGCACCGCCTTCAGCCTAGGGAGTGATCCTGAAGTCCTGGGATCGAGTCCCACATGGGGCTCCCTGCATGGAGCCTGCTTCTCCTTCTGCCTGTGTCTCTGCCTCTCTCTCTCTCTCTCTGTCTCTCATTAATAAATAAATAAAATCTTTTAAAAAATGCAAACAGAATTCTACATCAAAATCCCAACCGAATTTTTATGGCACTTAATTAGGTATATACATTTTATATGGAAGAAAAAAGCTCCTAAACAATTAAGATAATTTTGAAGGGAACAACGTTAGAGAGAGGAGGTGGGACTTTCCCTAACAAATAATTGAACTTCTTATAGAGCTGTAGTAACTAACAAGGAAATATTGGCATGGAGCTAGTGCAGTAGAACAGAATGAAGAACTCAGAAACACATTCATAGAGGATTTTTTTTTTTAGCAAAGTGCAAAAAAACAGGCTATAAAGAAAACTGATAAAATTTTACTACATCTGAACTTAAACTTTTTGTAGTCAGTAAAACACTATAAACAAAGTTAATAGACTGAGAAGACAGAGCCTATACAGCTGATAAAGGAGCAGAATAGACAAATATACAAATAACTTCCCAAAGTTCAATAAGAAAACAACAAATAACAAAGAGAATACAAGCAGGGTATATAAGAGGCAGGCCTCTCCCAGAAGATGAAACCTGAACGATGAGTAAGCATGAGAATATGCTCCATCTGACTGCATCACAGACATGAAAATCAGAAAAGCGAGACTGCATTTTATACCCAGAGTATCTGCCAGTGGGCTTGAGTTTAACAAAGCTCAGTGTCAGCATGGATGTGGATAACCCCATATGTCATTGGCAGGATGCATGGTGCCCCCAAAAGCAATTTGGTAATGTCTGGTGAAACTCCAAATAAGTACACTCTATGGCCCTGCTAACCGATTTCTAGGCATTTACCTTTGGTCAATTCTTGCACAAGTGCACGAGCGAGTGTGCACAATAGGTTCACCGAAGTGTTACTTCTAATTGTGGAAAATTAGAAATGAGCCAAATGTCTCTGGGTTGGGGAACAGATAAATTGTAGTAACAGCATTCAAAAGAATGATCCATAGCAGCTGGGGTAAATGAGCTGGATTTGTGTTTATCAAGGCTAATGGGTCTCAAAAATATAATGTGGAGTGGAAAAGAGAAGTGACAGGAAAATATGTGGAGTATGGTACCACTTATGTAAATGTCAGTGCACCCCAAGTGCTATATATCATTTGTGTGTGATACCTGTGTATTAAAAGGATGAAAACTGGATGAAATGAATATTAAGAACTCACGATAGGGGATCCCTGGGTGGCGCAGCGGTTTAGCGCCTGCCTTTGGCCCAGGGCACGATCCTGGAGACCCGGGATCGAATCCCACGTCAGGCTCCCGGTGCATGGAGCCTGCTTCTCCCTCTGCCTATGTCTCTGCCTCTCTCTCTCTCTGTGACTATCATAAATAAATAAAAATTAAAAAAAAAAAAAAGAACTCACGATAGCTACACCTGGGCAAGAGAGGTCTTGTGCCTTTGGGAGTGGAGCTCTGGCCCTCTTCTGCTCCAGCCCTGGGGCCAATGGGTTGTACCCACCTGAAACTCATCCCTGCTAAGTCTCTGCAGTGCACCCCTCCTGCCTCTACTCTGGGAACCAGGACCCCAAGATTCCCTGTCCAGTGGTCCCGAGGCCCCTTTTCCCCTGGTCCACCTTCTCAAGCAAGGGCCTGGTGTCTGCCTCAGGGTGGGAGAGAAGGGACGGGAAACAGGATATGAGGGCTTATGAAGGAGACTTCAACTGTGTCTAGGAATGTTAGTTCTTAATAACAATATACCCAAAACAAACATAACAACATGACATTTGCTAATTCTGGTAGTGAGTGGTATTTTTTTAATGTTTTTTTTTAATGTTCTTTTTAATAGCTGACTCATATATACCACTTACTATGTCTCAAGTACTATTGTAAGTGATTTGTCTTAAAAACGAGACGGTTTATTACCACTCAGTTTCATGAGAACACAACTAAATAAGTTGCCCAAGGCCACTCATTGCAAAAAGTAGAAGGGGATTTGGACCTAGTAGGTCTGGCTCCAAAGTCCATGATCTTAGAAATACTCTAGGTCTACTTGACCATAGACTACATTTAAAAAAAAATTAAGATTAAAATATGCAGACAAGTACAATACAAAGAAAAAGGTGGTGAAATTCTACGAAAAGATTCTTAGATGTGTGAGGAGCACAGACAAAGAGGGCATTACCTGGGAAGGAAGGCAGTCATGGTGGTGGGGGAGCCTTCACGAACTGGGTGCTATCCCCGGGTCCTTGCTGGGCAGTGAACAGGGAGGCGCAGGGTAGTGAAATGCCAGGAAGAGGCACCTTTGTGTCTGCAGGGAAAATTCAAGAAGGATTTGAGGATTAGCAAGTAGTTGTGTTTAGCTGTCACATGAAGGGACAGTTTGGTGAGGGACATAGATTAGGATCTTTAAGTGGAAAGTGAGACATGAGGGTTTCTTCTGGAAGGCAAGGAAGGCTCCGATGAGTAACCCATGAGGAAGGTAGGCTGGATCTGCAGGCTGACTACAGGTGACGATCCCCCAGGGGCACTGGGAGGAGACGTGGAGAAGCATCCAGGTGTGCACACAGACTATGAACCAGGCACTGTTCTAGGTGGTGGCAATATAGAGTGAGCACAACAGAAATTTCTGCCCTCGTGGAACCTGCATTCTAGTGGAGAAGCGGACTTTAGATAAGTAAGTGAGATAGTAAACAAAAGGATACCAATATGCATCTGGTAGGTGGAGAAGGCAGGCAAGGGAGCTAGGAAGGATCGCTGGTGCGTGTGTATACGTGTACTGGGTGGTATGGAGAAGGCTGAATGGTGGGGAGGGGGCAGTGAGCTGAGATGGTATTTGGAGAAAGGCCTACAAAGTGGGGGATGTTTAGATGATCCAGAGGTTCAGAGCCTGCAGCTGGGCCATGGTTACACCAAAAGAGGGGGCAGGAGGAAGAGCTAGGTGGGAGGAAGACAGATTAAGGCTGGGAGTCCAGGGCGCAATTAAAAATATGGGCTAGAGCCTGGAGCATGAGACATGCCCACACAGAAGTTACCGCTAACTGGGTGATAGTATGCTTTATTTAGTAGCTGAGATCAAGGGATGAGAGAACAACAGAAACTGCCAATCAGGGAGTCCCCCTGCGTGCCCTGCACACTATCAGGTGTTTTATCCTGCACAGTACCTGTAATCCTAAGGACATCCCTGCATCCTCCATAGCCTTAACCCAGCACAAATTAACAACAGTAATAATAGCTCACACATAAAAGGGTATACACTACATGCATGAGTCACTTTCCTGGCGTTTTATGTACATTAGTTCATTTAGTCTTTACAGAGATCCCAGGAGAGTATTGATTAGCCTCATTTGACAGATGAGAATGCCCCGCTGGCCAATTAAGTTGCCCAAGGTCACAAGCCAGTGAGGCGATGAAACACGCTGAATAGAGCTGCCTGGCTCTGGAATCCTTGCTAGGGAAGGAGGAAACCTGTCAATGCTCTCCAAGCCTCTGGGCCCTTCGAGAAAAGCAAGCTTTTTTTGAGGATGGGGTGGGGTTCTGGGGAGAAGAGCTAGAGAAATTCTCAGAAGACACATGGCAAGATAAGAGACTAGGCCAGGGCAGGGAGAGGGCTGTCCGCAGTGCGGAGTGGCCCCGCCGCCAAAGGCTGCAGCCTGGGGGGTGGCCCGCAAGCTGGGGAAGCCCTAGCACCCAGCGGACACAGCAGCCCAAAGGAACCGGAGCAGAAGCCGGAACGCCAGAAGCCAGTGTGGACACAGCAATTCGGATCTCTGGGAGCGAATAAAGAAGTCAAAAACAACGTTCAAACAACTAAGCACCCTTTCCGGGTGAATAGGTCGGAGGGGCCTGGCTAAGGAAACCTGTGTCCGGCCTGAGGTCTAGCTCCACTTTAAACTTGAGGAATCTGAACAAGACGCTTCGACTCTGTAGATTGCCCAGACGCCTTTTTTTTTAAAAAAAAAAAGTTGGGCAATCCCTGAGATGTGACCAAAATCGAATCCTGCCTGGATCCAGCCGGGGCCATGGGGTAGCCAAGTGGCCTCCACGCAGCGAGGGCAGGAGGGCTCGGGGGTCTCCCGGGGTCGAGGCGCGGGGCCCGGAGCGCAGGTGCCCCGCCCCCCTCCCCGGGGCCGCCCTGGGGACCCCTCCGCGCGGCCGCGACCGCGGAGCCCAGAGCGTAGCGGGTGCCCCTGGCACGTCCCCCCCGGGGCGCGCCCCGGCCCGAGCGCAGAGCAGGCTGCTGGCAGGGGCCGGATGGAGCTGCGCGCCAGGCCGGAGGCTGTGCCCGTCACTCGCAGCAGTCCCGGGCCGGGTGGCCGGCGCTTGGTGGCGCTGAGCCAGGCCGCGCCGGCCACCCCGACCCCGCCGCCGGGTCCCCGGGGAGCGCGTCCCGGGGGGCGGGGCGCGGCGGGCGCGGGGGGCGCGGGGGCCCCGGGGCCGGAGGGCGGGCGGCGGCTGGCGCGGCGCCCAGGGGCGCGAGGCGGGAGCGCGGGGCCGGGGTGGCGGGGGCGGGGGCGGGGGCGGGGAGGGGAGCGGCGGGGGGAGGCGGCGGCCGGCGGGGCGCGCGCTCACTCGGAGTCGGGCCCGGCGGCGGCCGGCCGCGCGCACCATGCCCTCCTTCGACGAGGCGCTGCAGAGGGCCGGCGAGTTCGGGCGCTTCCAGCGGCGCGTGTTCCTGCTGCTGTGCCTGACGGGCGTCACCTTCGCCTTCCTCTTCGTCGGCGTGGTCTTCCTGGGCAGCCAGCCCGAGCGCTTCTGGTGCCGCGGGCCGAGCGCCGCCGCGCTGGCCGAGCGCTGCGGCTGGAGCCCCGAGGAGGAGTGGAACCGCACGGCGCCCCCCGAGCCCCCCGAGCCCCGCGGCGCCCGCAGCTGCCGGCGCTACCTCCTGGAGGCGGCCAACGCCAGCGCCGCGGCGGGCGCGCTCAGCTGCGCGGACCCGCTCGCCGCCTTCCCCAACCGCTCGGCGCCGCTCGTGCCGTGCCGGGGCGGCTGGCGCTACGCCCAGGCCCGCTCCACCATCGTCAGCGAGGTGAGGGCGCCGCGGGGCGCGGGGCGCGGGGCGCGGGGGCGGGGCGCGCCCGGACGGGACGGGACGCGACGGGACGGGGCCCCGCTGCGCCTCCCGCCCTCCGACAGGCCCGTCGCGGATTCCCCGCCGCCGGCCCGCGAGGTGGCGGGACAGATGCTTCGGTGTCGGGGTGCACGAGAGCTGCGCGCGCACGCGGAGGTCGGGGATGCGGCGCGAGCATCCGCGGGACCCGAGCGCCCGCCCCGCCCCGCCCCGCCCCGCCCCGCCCCTCCCGCGCAGGTTGTCGCCGGGCCCGGTTCGTGCACAAAGTGGGAAGTTATGGGCGGACTCGCGGAAGGGGGGCGGGGGGGCGACCCGCAGCCTCTGGGGCCCGCCACTCGCTTGGGCCGGGCCGGACTGGCTTGTGGTGGTCAAGGGGATCAAGGAAGGGCGAACGGTCTGTCCTCTGGTTGCCCAAATGATTATCGGAAATGCATGGGGGGACAGAGGTCGAGGCTGTCCGTGGGCACGATTTTGGTAAAACTGCTTTGGGGCAAAGAGCAACGCCTGAGAGAAGTTGGGAACGCTGAGGTTTTCAGTTAAGAGTTTTAATCCCCGTCCCCCCCCCCCCCCCCAGTAAACTATAGGAAGGTAGCAGAAGTGGCTAGGAGCCTTACAAGGCAGACCCCCGCCCCCTTCCTGGGGGTGGCCGCCCCGCATCTCCTTGGGGGTGTTGGGCAGGCAGTGGGCATTGGCGGTTAGGTGGCCCCCATGCTGGGCTGCGATGACAGTTTGCATCTTCATCTTTGTGGCTCAACAGTGGGGACTGCCTCCCCACCGAGGCTGGGTGGCGGCAGGAATGAGCACTCTCCTTGAACTTGGTGGGCGATCATAGATCAAAGTAATTTCTAAAAACTGTCACTGTTAATGGTGACCTCATGTCTCTGGTGATGGGATTCTAGATCTTTGAGGTCTTGCAGGTTCTATGGTGCCCTGTGGGTATGGTCCAAAGCTAAGTGCTGTTGAGATATAACAACCCATGGCAGCCCATCCGGGCAACGTGTGTGTGTGTGTGTGTGTGTGTGTGTGTGTGTGTGTTCTGGGTACTTTAATTTCTACTTAATTTGTGAGTAATGATGAGGACTGCCTCATGAACTAGGGCGATCGTGTCCTTAGGGATTTCATAGATGAAATGGACCGAGGGTGGACTTCCATAGGACAGAGCATTATCACTGGTACTTCCCAAGGGCAACAACTGTTTGATGGCAGCCTGTATTCCATCTAGCATAGCTGCTTAGCACTTACTTCTCAGGTAAACTGGAAGATAGGACTCTAGAGAGAAGGCACCTGGCTTTTGAGGACATTAAACCTCAAATGAAGAATAAAATGAGCCTTCAAAGCAAAATGCACATTCAAGTGGGGTTTCTGTGAGCAAACGTGATCCCTGCACATCGGAGAAGACAGACATGGAAATCTGTGGAGTTAATGCCCAAATACTTGAGAAACATTCTGGGGTTCTGGAGGTTATTTCAAGGAGGGCCAGGGAGTCTTATGAAGGTCATTGGCTCCCAAGAGGCAATGTGGAAAGTGGAAGATCAGGAGACCTGCTGTGGCACCGTCTGCAGCTAGCTGTGTGCCTCGGGTACATCACTTAACTTCTCTGAGCTTAGCTTTCTCATCTGTAAAATTAGAGGTTGGATTAAGCCCTTTACAGTCCTGCAGTGTCATCCGTGTTATAGCTGGATGGCTGCTCAGGGGGCTCAGAGCAATGACAAAAATTTTCAAGGAAAAGTAGAATGATATTCAGCATGCACTCTCTAAGACAACCAGCAAATTGTTGCAGTATATTGGAGAGGTTTTTTTTTTGGTCCCAAATTATTTGCTTCTTTTGGTTTGTTTTTAATGTTTTGATTCCTAAAAGGACCCATCCCCATCCCATTCAGGAAGTTCAGCCATTCAGAGCAACTCCTTTTCTCTCAGAGTTCTGCTTGGCTAATATTTTACCGTCTTTGGTTTTAAATATGATCCATTTAGTTTTGTTTTTCCACATTCTGTCAGGATTAAAGGGACTTTACTTCTGTCTTTGGTTAACACCGTTCCCAATGCACTTTTACAGACACAAAGTTTAACACACTAATCGTGGAAGGGGGGTGAATCGTGAGAGTTTTGAAGGTGGAAGGGCAGACCAGATTCCAGAATGTCTCCATATGACTACTATGCTTCATCTTTGCACCACTGTGGGGAGATATCATGGTCCTGGTTTTGTAGAAGAGATATCTGAGTCAGGAGATGTGGAAGGATCTACCAGAGTCCCAGACCTTTTAAGTGGCCCAGTTGGGTTGAGATCTAAGGATCACAAGTGTAAATAATTCTCTCCTCCATGCAGTGATCGAAGTCTTCCGGACAAGTCCACGCAACATAACCACTCACGCTTTAGAAGCTGCAGGGAATCCCGTGGAACCTTCATATTTACTTCATTCCTCTGGCCAGCCTGCCATTATATTTCATTTTGTGGCATCAGGAACACAATCAGCCATAATCAGCCAGACCAGCGGATAAGAATGACTCCTCTTGATGTGAACATTGTAGGATAGGCACTTGAGCCTCACCCACTATCTTTCCATCTTACAAAGTGAAACAGCTCCAAGGAGTGAAATCAGAAATCAGTGCCAAGTGCAGGGCTGTTTCAATCCAGCCCCCTCACTTATTTCTCTTGCTCAAGCCAAGGCAGTAGAGTTTTCATCTATATGCAACTCCCTCAGGGCAGACTTCCTAACTTCTGAATCAGCCTTGTCTGCTTGTCAGATACTGGTCGCAATAAAGCATGATAGAATGAAGAAAAGTCTGAGCCCCCACCACTCGAATATTCCAGTTCATTGCCTAGGGAGTAAATTTTTGAAATTGATGCTAGGACTTTTCAATGTTTGCTTGTATGCTGTAAATGGGGGGAAAAAAGGAAAGAAAAAGAGCTTCTCTTTAGTGTCTCACTGAACTGGGCTTCAGAGCACCTTTTAAAAATAGTTCAAATAACTCTTGTTTTTCCTTTTCCCCCACAATAAAAGGACAGTCCATTTGAGGGAAGTAGGTGCCATGCTGGAGAGAGTGGTGGTTGCTTTGTGGGGCTTCGCATGTCTCTGTTTTGCTTCTCACACCTCTGTCCCACGACATAAGGCCAACCCCGTAGGTCATCCCACAGACATCAGTGCCACCAGCATCCTGTCCTCTGACTTTGTGAAGCATGGAATTGCACTGCTTTGGATACTGGAGAAAGTCTCTCCAGGCCCAACTTTTAATCTGGGCTCAGTCTCTGATTGCTCTGATTTAGAAAGATCTTGTTTCTGCACAGTGGTGTTTCTATTATTTGGGCCTCCCTTGGTTCTTGCTGAATCAACATCACCCATAGGACATCTGTTTTATTATTATTTTGAAGACCCAACACATGTCACTGTTCGTTTTTATTTCATTAATTTCTCCTCTTTATAATTTGTTCTTGTTTTCTGGATTGACTTTTGATATGCTTCTCTCCACAGAAGTTCGAGGCATGCTCAGTTATTTTCAGCCTTTCTTCTTTCTTCGTATAAATATGTAAAGCTATAGATTTCCTTCTATGTTCTTTTTTGACCATATCCGACAAGTTTTGAAATGCAGGTTTTACTTTTTATTCCATTCTCAGCATTTGTAATTTTCATTATTATTTCATCTTTGGCCCATGATGTTTTTATCTTTTTAATCGTTAACTTCCAATTTAACTTTGGTATGGTCAGAGAACATGGTCTGTGTGACACTGCTTCTTGGGACCTAACTGAAGTTTGCTTTTTGGCTTTTAAGAGGTCAATTTTTAATAGACGTTCCATACATGCTCTGGAAGAATGTACAGTCTTTAGCGATCAGGGACAGGGTTTACAGATATCCCATATTTGAAGCTTGTCACTTGTGCTGTTAAAATAGCCTAGATTCTAATTAACTTTCCATTTGCTTGGTCTGTCAAGACTAACAAGTATTGAGATTTGCCATTATGTTGGTGGATTTGTCAGTTCCTCCTTGTTTCCAGCAGACTTAAAAAGTTACATACATGGAGCAATTTTATTGGATGCGTGTATTTACAAATTTAGATTTTGCTTGTAACCCGCACAGTGAATTGAACCTTTTTCTAGTGTGTAGAGACTCTATCTAAAATCCATGATGTATATTGTCTTACTATTTTTTGTCTCAGCTTTCTTTTAGTTAATATTTGCCTGTTGTATCTTTTGTTATCTGTTACTTTCAAATTTCCCATGTTCTAAGAGCTTAGATGTATCTTATAAAATGCATATAGCTTGATTTTAACTGGTTTTTGGTTTTTAACTGGTATGCACAGTCTCTTTACATTTATTGTATTAATTGGTACGTTTGAGCTTGTTATATCATATTATTTTTCTTTGTCTTGTTCTTTCTATGCTTCTTTTCCTCCCTTTAAAAAATGATTTTTCAATTTGTTTTTCTTATTCTATTTTGTTCCTTCCTTTATTTGTTTGGAATGTAATCCTTTATTGCAGTTCTTTTAGTGGCTACCCTTGACATTTTACTATGTTTACTTAACAGAGCCTGAATTTAATACTGCAACCTTCTCAACAATTTAGGAGCTTTCAACACTTTGACTCAGCCACTCACCCGTTGTATTACAGGCATTCTTAGGCAATATTCTAGGTCTTTCCTTTTTTATTCTTAATTTGTGGTCTTTGTGTAGATCATATATGCTTGGGTTTATATTGACACTTTATCTGCTTATCATTTCATACAGTATCTCCTTTCCCCCTTACTTTGACACAAATCTTTAAAATTTTGGTGCATATCTCTAGGTGGTACATGTTCTCAGTTTTTGTTTATATGGAAATGTCTTTGTTTCCCTGTTATTCTTTAAAAAAAAAGATTTTATTTTTAAGTAATAACTCTACACTCTACATGGAACTCAAACCCACAACCCTGAGATCAAGATTCACATGCTCCACCGACCAAGTCAGCTGTTATTCCCCATTATTCTT